GCACGAATTTTTATTTAAGTTTGTGTAAAGGATTTACGGAAAGAGTTTTATTTTTGTTTTAGTAGTTGTAGTAATATATAATTAAAGCTATAGTTAATAGAAACTAATAGTAAAACTTATAGTAGTTTTAGTTAAATATTACTAGACTATACCAGGAATACATTTATATGCACGAGTAATACAAACACCTAAAAAGGAGATAGCTAATCAGAGTGCACAAAATTTGACTGTTTTGGATCAGCCTAACATGAATTTTGAACACATATGAAAGAAAAAAAAAGTGAAAATACTCAAAAACTAATATTTAAATTGACTTTGATACACTAATTAAAAATGTCAAAAATAAAATTTTACATATAAAAAACAATAATCTATTGTTATAGCCATGAATATTAACGACCTAATCCTAAACTTCTATCTTTATGCACTTAGTTTATTTACAAAATTTGATTCTTTTTTTAGTTTGTGTTACTTATGCAAATAAGTAAACTTCTATATAAAGTCTGTTTATTAAACCTAATCTAGATCTAATATTTAATAAACCTAATCTAAATCTGGCTTACTTTACAAACAATATTTTAGACTCAGTCTAGGCCCAAATTCAATCTAACTCTGAAATCTACAAGTTTAGCTTCAAGCTCTCAATTTATAAAATAGCAAAACAAATTTGCTATAATGAAAATTTAGTATACTATTAAGTAAAAAGATAACAAGAAACCAAGAACCTAAGTAACAAATCAAGATTAGGCTATAGTATTTTGAATTAATAAATATTTTACCAATTGATTAATTGTTAACTATAGTTGTAACTAATATTATGTGATATCATTAGATAATTAGCTAATCAAACTAAAGAAATAAGGGTGTAATGACTTAGTGAAGTGGTTAAGTTGTCACACTCCCAAGCGATATGTTGGATAAGTAGGGTTTTGAAACCTACTAACGACGAATTTCAAAAATTCTATTTGTACGACAGCTACTGTATCTGTTTAGTTGGTTGGAATAGGATCTTTGTAACCTTGGTAGCACTAACAAGATTGGAAGATCATAGGGTATTTGTGTGATATATAAGTTACATGAATAAAAGTTCTGGATCGTGTTAATTCAAGAAACTGTAAAAAGATGACGGACGCTCGCTTGGCAAGACCTGAGTAAAGAGGTAGTACAGATCTTTGACGATATTACGTAAAGGATTGTTACCAAGAGAACTGGTGAAACTGAATAGAACCGAAGTGTTTAGCAATGTACTCTACCAACCAGGCCACTGGGAGAGTAACTGGAGGAAAAGAATCCAACCATAGAGATCAGGAGCAGGTTACAGCCCTTCTGGGCTATCTGGATTGGTAGTTTGGGATTGTCAGGATTAATCGATGATAGTCTGTAAAGTGTGTACTGGGGTTTGGGTGAACTCTACAAGGGCAGAAGTAGGTAATAGTAGTGGTCTCAGCTCGCAAGTACTTGTCCTCAAATTTGGGCGTAAGTTATCAAAGTCTAGGCTAGCCAGATTGTGAGTATGAAAAGCTTTAGCAAGTTTACTTTGAGGGTAAATTAGCTCTAGATCAGGCACTTCCTATGGCAGGTATTGGTCCCTCATAAGGATGTGGTAGTGCAAAGAGTTTAAATAGATAATCTTCTAGTTGGATTATAGATATGGTATCTAGTGTAGAACTTGATAATAAGCGGACTACTTAAATAAACAACCAAAAGTTGTACGTGTGGCTAGTTGTACTCTCTAAAACCATATACCAAATGAGTAGCGACTGGCTATCCAGCTTAGCATATAAACTAATAAAGGCAACCAACTATGAGGTCACTTTGATATTAAAAAAAAAAAAAAAAAAATCAAACTAAAAAAATTAATACAGATTTGCTCAACTAGATAGAATTTTTTAGAATTGTCTAGTTGAATAATTAATCAATTAGTTGTTTAAATTTTTTTTAAATTAACTAGTTAGAAAGTTAGCAACTAGTTAGTTTTTCAATTAATGATTTAAAATACTACTGAGCTATAAAAAAACTACTACCCAAAGATAAGACAAACAGATTTTGAAGCTAAAAAAAGAAAATAAAGATATTACAGCCCCAAAATCTGCTATAAACTAATGAAACAAAATATCAATATTTATATTTATACTATTTAATAATACCTTCATGAAGATAAAACTACTATTATAGAAAGCTTTCAAAGTATTTGCTTGGAAAGAAGTATTAAAAAAAATATCTTTTATAGATAAAGAAGTATAAGAATTTTAACTAAAATTCTATAATATTTATTGATAAAAGTGCTTTTTGCTTAAATCAATAATTAAAAAAAATATAACAATTTCTCTAAAAAAAAAAATTAACCTGTTCTGTCAAATATCTGTTAATAGTGTTTGTAGTTGATTTGCATTAGTCGATTTTATTAGCTTAGCCAGGTTTAGTCAACTAATTTTTTGAAAAATCAGCTTAGTTGACTTTATATTAAACTATATTAAAAATTACAGTAACTAATTAAATTTAGATCAATTTGATAGTTTATATTATCCTTTCCAAAAATTCTAAAAAAGAAATTTAACAAATATAAAATACTAGACAAAATTAAACAAAGATAATTGATTTTAGTTTTAAATATCAACTTAGTCAAGTGATAGATAAATAATGATCAACTATAAATACTAGTATGTATATACCAATTATATCTAATTTAAATCATATACCTTTAATTAACCAATTAGAATGATCGACTATAGCTTAGCTGGCTAAGCCAATTTTTAAATATCGACTTAGTCTAGTTGATAAATTTGGATCGACTACAAACACTATCTGTTGAAAGTTCATATATAGAGCTATTTTTTTTGGAGGCTTTAACAGGTTGGTTTGTTTTATATATAATTTTAATATATAATATTTAATCATACTGTATAAAACAAGCCTTCTACCTTTTGTTGTGAATCTTTTTAATAAATATGATAATAAATAGATCTTGTAGAAGAATAATAATTTGAAGCATTGTTTGAAAATTGTGAAAGCATAAAAAAAAAAAATATATCTAGATTCTTTCTTGGCTATTGATATTACTTGACCAAAATCTAAATAAAAATATCTGGAAGCTAATAAAAATGAATTTAGTAAAAAAGAATTAGAATATTTAATCATTTAAAAGATAAAATAACAAGAAAATAGAATAGTTTACCTAAAAAATATATGAAAAATTTGGTTAGAAGTATAGAGTTATATAAAAACTTAATTAAAACTAAAGACAATTATACAATATATTAATTTTTCTTGTAATGCAATATATTTTTAAATAAAAAAATTTTTTAAATTAGAGGTATAGAAAAAGTTTTGTTAAGCACTATAAATAATAAAAACAGAATTGCCAAAAAAATAAAATTAAATTAAAATAAAATAAAGAATAATATAAAATAGATATATTATCAAAAAATATAAATTTTTAGGATATATTTTTTTAATATTTTTAGATTTAAAATTAGAGTTTAGAAGCAAATTTTATAATAAACAAGTATAAGTAGGTTTTAGAAATTAAATAAAAACTCTTTATTTTATTTTAATCTGATTTTATTATAATCTGTAATAATTAAATTATAACTATTTTAACTAGTAAATGCAATATTATTTATTATCTGACTATTTTTTATTAAAGATTTACTCTTTTTTTCTTTTTTAATATATAAAAAATTAGGTTTTTATATATAAGGTTATATAAAATTAATTAATTGGCTTTTTTAATTTGGCCAAGTCAAATTTTAAAAATTTTTACAAAAAATTTTAATAAATAGATGAATTTTTAAAATTTTTTTAAAAAAATTTTATAAATTTTTATATATAAAATTAAAAAAAAAAGCTAGCCAGTTGGGTTTATTTAAGAAATTTTATATTACAAGAATAAATTAAATTTGTATAGCCTAATTTTAACTTTTTACTTTTTTACTCTTTTTTTTTCTAAAAATTATTTAATTTTTGTCATATTTCTAATAATATTACCATTTTTAATTTTTATCAAAATTTAAAATTAAAATATAGTTTTAGAAAAAAATAAAGATTAAATATAAAGATCTAAATTTAGTTAAAGTTAGGTTTTTGTGTTCTGAATATTTTTGTTTAGTACTTTTTAAAATACAATATTTTGGGTAAATATTATCTTAAGAGCAAGTTAACAACAGTTATAATTTATTAAAAAACTTTATCTTAAATTTGAATTAAATTTTAAAGTTACAGGTTAAATTAAAGGTTTTTTAAAAATAATAAATAATTTACTTAATATACAAAATGTCGATTACTAAAGCCACCTTGGAGAAATAACATACTTAATTTATAAATATAAACCAGATGCTGCAAAAAAAAAAATTGCCAAATTTTTAAAATTAATTTTTTTGCATAAATTAATTTAGAATAAAATCTGGATTATTTTTGACTTAAGACACAAAAGTAGTTGTTTTAATAAAATTTTGTAGTATAGCTCTTCAAAATTTGCAATTTCTTATGATTTATTATAAAATTTATAACTTTTTTTTTGTTGATTTCCTTCTTTTTTGTAGCACTCAGCCCATATATATCGATATTTAAATAATCAAATATTGGTTTCAAATATCTAAACAATATTAAAATTTGAGAATTCGTTTGCTCTGGCTAATAAAAGTTATCCACACTAACCAATCAATCAAATCTATATATATACTGTATCAGGTATATATAGCATAAAAAACGGTTTGGTTTTATACTCCAATAACATTTTTTGGCTAATAATTAGCTAATCAAATTAAATCAAATTGCAACGATTACGTAGAATTTCATTATTTAATTGGTCGGCAATACTTTTTTGCTAAAAAATAATCTAACCAACCAATTTTAAATTGTCGATTTTTGAAGTTATCGTTCTCGTTCTGCGAGATGTGTAACCACGTGATGGACGATCGACAAAACTTGATGCAGATGCGTTTATTTCAAAACATTGATTTTTTTTTTTTTTTTTTTTTACCACTACTGATGAAATAAAAATGGCAAGCCCACAATCAACAGAAACGTCTAATAAAACTTCTGGCGAGCCAATCTATACGTGGTCAGTTAAAGAGTTTCAGGATCTATATACGCGTATGGGAACAGGTGCCTTTATGATGAGTGAACGATTTGCTTCTCCTCAACCAGTAACAATTGATCAGGAAACTGGAGTAAAGGACCCAATACACTGGTGGCGTCTTGTTTTATATCCACATGGCTATGCGAATCAACCTGATTATTTGGCAGTATTTCTTACAGCTTTTCGGTCAGAGTACGAAAAAAAAAATCAAGTTAAATCAAGAACGGTTCAACGATTTTGGTTCGAATTGTTTCGGGTTGATAATCCTGATGTTAAATCCAAGAAACTCACACATCTTGCTATAAGGAGTTTTAAGAAATCGGATTTCGTTTTTGAAAGTCGGGACGATATTCATACTTTAGGTACTAGAAAATTTGTGCCTTTTACCGAAATTTTTGCAGATGGAAAGAATCATAACAATGTTACATTAGTTATACGAGTGCATATCATCAATGAGGATCCATTCATGAAAGATTCTTCAAATGAAGGAACAAAACCGAATGAAATACGGACAAAATCATTTTTATCTTCTTTTGAAAAATATTTTATGGATGAAAGATACTGCGATGTAGAGTTTGAATTTGACTGTGGTTCTAGAATTAAGTCGAATCGACTTGCTCTTGCAAGTCGTTCGGAATATTTTGATTCACTATTTAAAGGAGAATGGAGTGTCGCTGGAACAACGCCAATTCATGTTACAGGCATGAAGTTCCAGGTTTTTAAAGCAATTTTATACTATCTTTATACAGATAAACTAGAAGACGACTTATCATTAGACACATTACAAAATCTTTATTTTGATTCTGAGGCAAGACATTTAGATGATTTAAAAGAAATGGTCATAATCCGAATTGGTGAAATGGCTAACGTCCACACTTGGGATCAGATCTTAAGATT